GCAAAGTCGAGCTTTAAGTAACCGCATAGTTTTGAGCGACAGCCACGGGTTTCTATGGCTGCTTCACAAGCCTGTGGATTTTTCTGGGATGTAGACCGAGACAGTTGGAGGCTTCCCTCTTGTTTTGGAGAGGGGATTAAAGGAAAATGTTTACTTCTTTTTAACGGAGCAGTGCTCTGTTATCAAGCCTTCCCCACAAGACAGGCTTGTAACTGCTATTAAAAAAAAAAAAAAAAAAGAAGGAGGGTTTGGTTTCGACGCATCTGAATCACACAAGCTGGTTTGAGCTTGGTGGAACAAAAGCATGCTGGTTGTAATTAAGGTTTATAATATCAAGTTTAACAGAAAAGTGTTAAGAAACCACGCGGTGAAACGTCCTCTGCTACTCAAGGCCAGAATTTTTGGAATATAACGACACGAAGGAGTGGGCCGTTGCCCTCAGCAACTACTATTACAAAAGCACTTTTTTCTCCTTAAAGAAGTTACAGGCAGGCAGTACATCACATAAATCACCAACTGTCAAAACACCAGAGTTGTGGGAGACTAGCAGAAAAGCAAACTGGCTTCACAGAGCTCAGCTTTAAGCACCAGGACAACAGGATTACCTGCTTTGTTCAAAGAAAACGCCGGGCCACAAACGACAAAACCCCAGAGAATAAAAGTTTACGTGCTCCCAGTCACCTCAGTGACCAGTGGCTGAGGAGTGACAACCCTGGTGTTTGGGTTAGTAAATTGTATTTCTGGTGCATGTGTGAAAGATACAACTCACTGAGTAAACACCCCTTCAGAGCTGACAGTTTTACAGCCGCAGGCTCAGCGCGGCTACTCCTTCTCAGAAACCTCTGAGCACACAGACGCAGCAAATCATTTGGGGAAAGCAGTAAAAAAAAAAAAGTTACATAAAGCCATCATATTTACCCATTCGCCAATCCTTTAAAAAGTTACCAGGTAGGGGCAAAATAAACATCGCTTGTTTTCTGCCGAACAGTTGAAAGTTGTGTCACGTCTGAAAAACATTTCCCTTTTGGTTTAAAAGCATCAATATTGAAAACATGCAATAGCTGGCTGGAAAGTTCTTTCATTGAAAGTCAGCAACTGTATAATTTTTTTTTTTCTGGCAAGGAGACAGACAAAGCAGGCAGAAGTGATTTAAAATTCAAGAAGCAGATAGCTTTACGGATAGAGGCGCCTTAATTAAAAAAAAAAAAAAAAGAAAATCAGGGTTAAGACGTCACGATGCTTTACAGCCGGAGTCCTCAGGCATCGCACACCACCTCTGGCTTCAGGGGCTGACTTTCAGCCGCTCTAATCGCGGAGAAAGTGACCTTTACGGATTAAACGCAAACCCTGAGATTACCAATTTGAGGACGGTTAAAGAGGCGAGACGCGACCCCAAGTCCATCCCCCGCCGCAGCGCCGCGGCGACTTCAAACAGAGCAGCATTTTCCTGACAAATCTCGCCGAGTCGGAGCAACCTTCGCTGTGAAACAAAACCGTAACTCGGTAACACTAACAGGCTGGAGGCTGAGCTGGGCAAACTGGGCTCTGAAGAATTTTTCTCCGACTCACCAAAGCGCTCTCCGCATAGGCGCAGTTTTAGCCTTTTCTCCGGCTCAGTCTCACAGACCGAGAGCACAAAAAAAAAAAAAAAAAA